TGTGTGTGTGTGTGTGTGTGTGTGTGTGTGTGTGTGTGTGTGTGTGTGTGTGTAAACTGAGAGGCTGTTAACATGTGAGTTTCTTTTCCCTTTTGGCACCTGGGGAAAAAAATGAAATTTCCTACTGAGACTCTAACCTCCAGTGTGATATTTGGGAGACAGGTTTAGATGAAATCATGAGGGGAGTAGCCTCACAATAGGATGGGTGCTCTTGGGAAGAGACACCAGAGAGTTTGTTTTCTTTCTTTCTCCCTGCCATGTGGAGGACACAGCGTGAAAGTGGCTACCTGAACACCAGAAAAAGAGCTCTTGAAAGGACTTGACCACCCTGGCACGGTCCTTTCAGAACTAGCCCTGGAACGATGAAGGGATGAATTTCTATCTCTGCAGTATTTTGCTGTGGCAGCCTGAGCCAACCAAGACAGGGTGTGAGGAGAGAGAGGAGTCAATGATACCTCAAGGGTTACAGGAGAGCGACCGGAAGGCCATAGTCGCCATCAGCTAAGATTGAGGAGACCAAAGGTGGAGCAAACATCAGAGGGAAAATCAGTAGTTCAGTTTGGGACATATTAAATTTGAGGTCAACATCCAAAGAGATATTGAGTAGATAGCTGTATGGAAATCTGAGCTATGAAAAGAAATTAAATCTGGGGTGTAATTCTTCGTTGTTTGTTTGTTTTGAACCATAGCGGCCAACAGCAATACACTCTCCACCCACAAAGTAGTTGCATAAACCATCTGGGTTGTGACCATGCGGGAATCAGATCGTGGGACCTCTTCAACTCAGCCAGTACAAGAATTCTGAGTGTTTATTAGAGGGTTGCGTCTTACATAAAACACCCTTCCTTACTTTTCTACAAGTCAATGGGGGTAAAAAAAATGAAGCACAGGAAATATATTTGGTTGAAAACAAGAGTTTGTGTTCCTAGCATACTAAGTAGGATGAAAGACAGCAATCTAATTTCTCACTGATAGGTGCTTTTGAGGGACAAAAATTTGCACTCATAATTGTGCTTTAGATATCTTATTTTTTGTTATATAGCAAATATATATTCTTGAAGACAATGCCTTAAGTGCTAGTTTATTACAACTAAATTAGCTTGACAAAAGCAAAACATTGCTATTATTCACAATTATGGGAATAAAACAAAGTGATTCATTTTTCCAATGGTGATTACTCTAAAGTGAACGCGCTCATTTTATCAAGTCAAAGATGGTACTGGTGTTAAATTTATTGTAGTTGTGCTAATTTTAAAGTACTTTTAGCTTCTCAGAGTAACACAAATGGATAGTGTAAAATTCTGCTTGCCAAAACATGTGATTATATCTCAAAAGCCCAGAAAGTTGGGAATTAAATAACTTTCTAAATAGTTAGAGATGTAGAATATGTTTCCAAGTAACACACAGTGTGGCAAGACACACAAACTGGTAAATAAAAGCTGGCAAAATAAAGACAGGAAACTATCACTGCTTGCTCATTATCTAACACGAGAGAATAAATTCTGAATTTAGTGACACTGAAAGGTTGCTTCCCTTAACACCACCCTAACACTTTCAAAGGTGCACCATGACGTCTTCCTATAGATGTACTCAATTTCTCAACTATGCTTTTCTAGTATTTTACTTTCTTCTTATGAACAATAAAAATAATAATAGCACTTGCTCAGGGAAGAACAGAGATTATGTTAAGGAATCTGCTTAAAAGTATTTCTCTCAAGAACAAGAATAATACTTATTTTAATTTTAATAAAAAACTTTTTTTTTTTTGGTACTGAGGATTGAACTCAGGACCTTGTGCTTGTGAGGCAGGTGGTGGAAACACTGAGCTAAATCCATGGCTATTTAATAAATATTTTTATTTGAAAATACTAATTATGATATGCAGCATAAACATATTGAATTTCTCTATTTAAATTTTTTGATGAGAATCCTGTCAATGATTCTATTGAGCGTATATAACATGTGTCTGTAAAATTTGGTTCTTAGGCACAGATATCTCAACTTGTCCTTTCAGCAATGTAAAAGATGTCTTAGGACCGATTCATTGGCTTTCAATGAATTTGCAACGTACTTTAAAATGAAGAGATATTAAAGATTTCAAAATATATAAACTGAGTTGATGTTGGTGCTAACAGGGAAACCTTTGGCTATAGTTAAATTAACAACAGCATCAGGTTGCCTACTCCCTTCCATATGGGGTCAAAAGCTTCCCCTAGAAAGGCAGTTTTTAAATGAACGTGGGGCAACATTGGCTCACATAAGTTTGTGGCATTGCCCTTCTCTTCTGTGATAAGACGGATGTAAAACCAGGGGTTTTCCCGGGAAAGATCGTTCTCGTAGCACTTAGAAAATGAACTTGCAAACCATACACACGCATACACTCCCGGGCTGACAGAGTATGTTGAGTTTTATGAGAGAGTTGTAGGCAAATCGTGTCTCAGGCCTCAGATCAAAGGTGCCACGCATTCAACAACATATTTTAATGCCAGGGCCCACAGTAGGTCTGTGCAGGAACTTGCACTGCTGACAGACTTATGGGAAATGGGGGTGGAGCATCGGACGTGTAGAGAATAGGCCTGTAATTATTCACGAAACTTCAGGAAATAAACATTCACTTTCAAGAAATTGTTTTCAGCTGCTTTAAAGCCAAGTGACAGCTAAATTACAGTTGAGGGAAGGAAAAGTTTCCATTTTCTAATTTGATGCATTTTGTTGCATCGTACTACATTATCCAGAGTGAGGGCCGCCACATCCTGTCGTGCGTCAAACCCCACAGGGAAAGCTCCAGGCAGCTGGAAGAGTTGTCTCTCCGGCATGCAGTTACCTAAGTGTCCCGGGCGAAAGTGTCTGGGGACTTGGGGCGATGCTTAGGGTTGACGTTCCTAGGATTTCCGCAAGTGCTTTTGGCTGTACATGCTGCGGCTATTCCGTCAGCACGGCCTCTACGCCGAGTAGTGAGATATTTGTGGAAACTGCACACCCCGCCTACAAACAGCCCCAGACTCATGTGCCTATGGCTGTGCCAGTAAAGGGGGACTGGAAGTTCTGAGAAAGAAAGGAGGCCTCGAGACAGCAAGTCTTAGGTGCTCACAAGTTGACCAGTAGCTGTCAGGAAAATAAATACGAGCCTGATATCTGACAGTATAAGACGTAAGAAAGGAAATTAAGTTTTTATTAAAAGAGATAACAGAAATGCTATGGGTCAGGCAGTTTCCTATCGCCTGCTGAGTCTAGTAAGGAGGATTCCCAGTTCTGTACATCACCACCTGTCAGAAATGGGCTGTGCGTGCACAGGGAGCGTTTCATAGTCTTGCCCTTGTGAAGCATATCTTTAAGATATTCTAACCAATTAGATATGAAAAAAATTTATAAGTCCATATACTTTGCTTAAAGTAAGGCCTTGAGATAGATTTCCTACATTTAATTCAAGAGTGTGATGAATTAGAGATATGATACGTACTCAAAAGGGAAAATATTTAACGTAACAATTTAGAACTGATTAGAAAGCGGAGCAGAGTTGCTTTGGATCGTGTAGTTATTTTTTTCAGAAACATAAGAAGAGAAGAAAGAGGAGGAGGAGGAGGAAGAGAAGGAAGAGGAAGAGAAAAGAACCCAACACTACATATTCTATTGAGAGTTGTTTCTGACTTTTGAATTCATTTTAAATGTTCTCAGGAAGAAATACAACTTAAACACGTTTAGATTGCATTTAAAGTTTTTGGGAGAACAAAGAATGACATAAACAAATTTGGTTACTGTATGTATAGTTTCTACAGAAATAAAATACTCAAAATAAAAATTGCCCAGCACAGCTGTAGACTATTTTACATACTCAACAGGAAAAATATGGCTGTAAATTATTAAAATATGAAGAAAGATGCAGATTATAAAAATGAAAGATATTTAAATCTTCCCCAACTAGGCCTCTTTTGAGATGATCTGTAGGTTCACACTTACATGCATCAAACACATCTCACCCCCCAAAAAATAATAAACCAGACCAATGGCAGATGCGATCAATGAAGGGTAACAGTACAAAAACAACGTAAACATCTACACATGTCACAAGCAGGTGAGAAACACGGAACACTACCGTGTCTGGATCTCAGTACCTTCTGGCTCTGGGCATGTTCTGGCTACTGCAAGTTTAAGAGGGAGTAGAAATCACTCAGACAATACGAGAAGCAAAATCCGGTTTTACTCCTAGAAGACTGGGCTTCAAGGGCCCTCTTAAAACCCACCACAAAATGAGGCTGTGGAAAAGAGCTGCTGACAACCAAAGAAAATAATGAGAGCATCAATTTATTAAAGGTAAAATTAATTTGAGGGACTACATTGACAGTCTTTCAAATGAGAATATTTTGGTGTTTATTCCATATTTTTGAAGTGGAAAATAAATTATAAGATGTGAAAAATAAAGCATGAACAATGTAGCCATGCAAAAAGCTTATTAGAAACCTTCGAAATAAAAAAGTTAACTTTTAAAAAGAGCTCAATAAATTACATAAATAGGCACAGAGAGCTAGCAAGTTCTTTGAGCAGGTGAATTCACTCAAATGCACCACGGAGAGATAAATGAAATGAAGACCAATTAAGAACCAGGATTTTCACTCCTTTGTAAATTGTCTGTGCTATAGAGAAGTTGAGAACTTTATTTTCTGGAATCTTCTTTCTCTATGATTCCAGGGCAAAACTGGCCTTGTGTTCACACAGTGAGGTGGAAAGGACATGGTGTTTTCCTGAGATACCGGCAGCCAGACATAAGAACGCACATGAGATTAAAAGCAGCTGTCCAGAAAGTTCCTGAGGACAACCTGCTTCAAAACTTCAGACTGAGATTGTGAGGGGTTCTTCTGACCAGCACATGCCCAGTTCTTCTAAGGTAAGCCCAATACATTAATATAAGCTGTTACTAGAAACATTTACTATTTCTTTGCGTGTGAGCATTCAAACTTCTCTCTTCTGGTCTTGATATTGGTTTTTTTTTTGTTTTTTGTTTTTTTTTTCAGTCTCTGGTTTATACCTATGTTGATACAAAGGACAGGATTTCGATTTTTAGGGTTGCATAATATTCCACTGGGTATACATGTGTGTTTTGGGAAAAGGCTAAGTATGTATATATGACTTTTTCTTTCTGTATCCATCAATTGATGAACACCTCAATTGATGTGATTGATTCCATATCTTGGCTGTTGTGAATAGTGCTGCAGTAAACATGGGAGTGTAGTTGCTCTTTGATAGAATGATTTCATTTTTGAATGGTACCAAGTAGTGGGGTTGCTGGGCCATGTGTTAAATCTATTTCCAGGTTGCAAAGAACCTCTAGACTGTTTCCATAATGGCTATCCTGAGTTACATGCCTACCAACAGTGTGTTAGTTCCCCTTTCTTAGCATCCTCATCAGTGTTTTTTTTTTTTTTCTTTTTAATATCAGTCTTTCTAACTAGGGACAGATAGCTCATTTTGGTTTTGATTTGTATTTCCCTGATCATAATATTGAATATTTTTTTCATATATTTTGACCTTTTGTATGTCTTCTTTTGAGAAATGTCTACTTAGGTTATTTGCCCATTTTAAAGTCAAATTGTTGGATTATTTTGCTGTAAAGTATTTTTCTAGTTCCTCATATGTTCTTTATAGAAAGCCCTTACTGGAGGCTGGGGAGTTAGCTCAGTGGTTCCATCGCCTGCCTCGCAAGCTCAAGGACCCAAGTTCGATCCCCGGAACTAGGAAAAAAAAAAGAAAAAGAAAACACTTATTGGAAGAGTAGCTTGCAGATATTTTCTTCCTTTCTATGGGCTATGCCTTCAATTGTTTCCTTTGCTTTGTAGAAACTTCTTAGTTTAATATTGTCTCATTTGTCTATTTTTGCTTTTTGCCTGTGGTTTTGGGGTCTTACCTAAAACACCATCATCTATACTTATACATTGAAATGTTTTCTCTAGTAATTTTATAGTTCCAGGTCTTATATTTAGGATATCAATAAATTTTGAGTTATTTTTTTGTATGTGTTAAGAGATATGGGCCTGGTTTCATTCTTTTGCATATGGGTGTCCATTTATCTCAGTGCCTGCTGGGTAAGGAAGAGCTTATCTTTACTCTCATGTATATTTTTGGATTTAAGTTCAGTTGGATGTATATGTGTGCATTTACTTTTTGTTGTTGTTGTTTTCTATAACATTATGTTGGTCTCTTTCTATTCCAGTACCATGTGGGTACTTAGCTTTGTATAGCTACTTAATTTTGTTTTTTTTCCCCATTGAGTTTATTGGTACATTTTAAGTATACAGTACAGTTACATTTATCATTAGGACCTTGTACCTTAACATGACAGATCTTGGTTCTCATTTTTTGCCCATACCCCTGCCCTCCCTTCACCCCCTCCATTCTGTAGTTTGTTTTGAATTCAAGTATTGTTATGTCTTTGGTTTTGTTCTTTTTGCTAGATTGATTTGATTGTTTGAGGTCCTTTGTTGTTCTGTATGAATTTTAGAATCATTTTTTATTTCTGTAAAGAATGCCATTAGTATTTTAATGGTAGTTTCACTGAACCACCATTGTAGATTGCTTTGGGTAAGATGGGAATTTTAACAATATTAATTTATTCAGTCTGTGAACATAGATATCTTTCCATATTTTTGATGTCCTCTTCAATTTCTTTCATCAATGCTTTATAATTTTCATTGTAGATACATTCACTGAATTGTTTAAATTTATTCTTAGGCATTTATTTCTGTAGCCATTATGAATGTGATTGTTTTCTTGATTTGTTCTTCAGCAAGTTTGTTATTAGTGATCAAAAAAGCTACCCATTTTTGTATGTTGATTTTCTATTTTGAACTTTACCATATTTGTTTATCATTTCTAACATTTTTGTGAATTCTTTAGGTTTTTTTAATGTATAAAATCATTTTACCTACTGAGAATTGGACTTCCCCTTTTTCTATTTGGGTGTCTTTTATTTATTTCCCTAACCTGATAGGTCTGACCAAGATGTCCAATACTATGTTGAATAAGGGTGGTAAAAGTGGATATTCTGGTCTTGATCTTGATCTTGAAAGAACAAGGATTTTTTGGCGGGGTACTGGGGATTGAACTCAGGTCCTTACACTTTCGAGGCAGGTGCCAGAACTACTGAGCTAAATCCCCAGCCCAAAGAACAGGATTTTAACTTGTCCTCATTCAGCTGATATTGGCTATTGGTTGGCACTGATAGTCAGTCATTAAGAAATATTCTATCTACCCTTGTTTTATGGGGGTTTATCATGAAGGAATGTTGAATTTTATCGTATGCTTTTTCTGCATCTATTGAGATGATTGGATACATTTTTTTCTGTCCTATTGATGCAATGCATTATGATTATCAACTTGTCTATCGTGAATCATCCTTGAATCTTTGGAATAAATTCCTTGAAGGTGATATATATGTACAATTTTTGATGTAATGTTGGATTCAGTTTGTTTATATTTGACTGAGAATTTTTCCATCAATGTTCATCAGTTATATTGGCTTGATGTTTCCGTTTTGGGGATTTTGTCCATATTTGCTTTGTGTATTAGTGTAATGATGGCTCATAGGATAAATTCAGAATGGTTCCTTTCTAATAATTTTAAGAATGGTTTAAAAATTATGTTAGTTCTTCTAAAAATGTTTCGCAAAATTTATCACAAAGCCATCTATTCCTGGGCTTTTCTGTGTTGGGAGACTCTATTATCCATTCAGTCTCATTGCTCGTTATGAGTCTCTTCAGGTTTTGTGTGTCTTCCTGGTTCAGTTTTTGTAGGTTACATATGTTCAGAAATTTGTCAATTTCCTAGATTTCCCAATGTGTTGGTATATAGTTATTCATACTACTACTTAATGATCCTTTGTATTTTAGTGGTATCAATTAAAACATGTCTTCTTTCTTCTTTAGTTTTATTTGGGTCCTCACATTTTTCTTGGTTGATCTTACTAAAGTTTTGACAGTTTATAATTGTTTTTGAAAGACTATGTGTTGTTCATGTTTTGTAGTTTTTCCTTGATTGCCTTTATTTCTTCTTCTTTTTTTTTGTTACTTCTTTTTTCTACCAATTTTTTTTTCCTCATTGAGTTTATTGGTACATTTTAGGTACACAGTACAGTTACATTTATCATTGGGATTTTGTACCTTTACGTGACAGGTCTTGGTTCTCAGTTTTCCCCATACCCCTACTATTACAAAAACTTTATTTCCATTTTTTAATTTTCTCGTTTTTTTGTTTTAGTTTTAGTTTTTTTTCTAGTTCCTTGGGTTTCAGTGTTAGATTGTGATTCTGAAAACTCTCTCTCTCTCTGCCTCTCTCTCTCTCTTTCTCCTCCCCCCTCTCTCTCTCCCTCTCTCCCTCTGTCTCGTGTGTATGGTGCGTATATTCTTTTTACTTCAACTTTTGTTTTATTCCGTAGATTTTGATATGTTGTACATCAATTTTCCCTGGTTTTGAGAAATGTTTTAATTTCTTCTTTGATTTCTACATTGACCCATTGATCATTCAAGAAATATTCGTCTTCTGCTGATTCCCAGCTTTATCCAAGGTTTTCAGAGAAGATCCATAGCATTATTTCAATGCTTTTGAATTTATTGTGACTTGTTTTGCAGCCTGTGCTATGATCTCTCCTTGAAAATATTTCATACACTTATGAAAAGAATGTGTACTTTATAGTTGTTGATGAAGTGCTCTGAAAATGTCTGTTCATCCACACAGTATGCAGTATAGTCTAAATCTGATGTTTCTTTTTCTTTTTTTCACATTTGCGATATAAAATAAATGCATTCATTATAGGTAATTAGTACTTGTACATGACACATCTGAATATGAACTCTGATGTTTCTTTGTTGATGTTTTTGTCTGGATAATCTGTTTATTGATGAAAGTGGGGTGTTGAATGCTCCACCTACTACTGTAATGGACTCTTATCTCTCACTTTGATCGGATAACTTTGCTTTGCACAATTGGGTGATTCATCGTTGAGTGCACATATTATCATTGTTTTTTTTTCTCTTGTTGAATTGACCTCTATATCATTACATATTGACGTTTTTGTCCCTATAGTTTTTGATTTACACTCTATCTAATATAAGCATGCAGTTCCTGTTTGTGTTTGGTTTCCATTTGCTTGAAATATTTTTTTTAATCCTTCACTTTCAGTCTTTGAGTGTCTTTGCCAGTGAAATGAATCTCATAAGCAGCATATTATTGAGAGTGTTTTAATCCATTCATCCAATCAAAATCTTTTAATTTGGGCAGTTAGTCCATTTGTATTCAAGGTTATTAACTAATAAATAAAGATACATTCATCACTTGCTATTTTTTCACTATGTTGTATGTATTTTATTCCTTTCTTTTTGTCTTGTTTATCTTTGTGGTTTGGTGGTTTTCTGGATTGATAGGGTTTGATTCTTTTTCTTTCTCTTGTGACCACTCTACTTGCGACTTTTTTCCTTATTCATATTTTCATGATGGTGATTCACATCCTGTATCATTCATTGTAGAAGTCCAATAACTATTTCTTGTAAGGCTGGTCTGGAGCCAATGAATTTGCACAGTTTTATCTTGGAAGACTTTATTTCTCCTTCAATGCTAGAGAATACATTCTTTTTTTCTTTTTTTTTTGTAGTGGGGATTGAACTCAGGTCCTTGTGCTTGTGAGGCAGGCAGTGGAACCACTGAGCTAAATCTCTGGCCTAGTATTGTTGGTTGGAGATTTTTTTAAAGAACTTTGAATATGATCTTCCAATCTCTCTGGCCTGTAAGGAATCGGCTGTTTAATGTAGATTATTTTATATTTGACTTGATTTTTTTCTCTTGCTATTTTTGGCTTTCTCTGACTTTTACTTTTAACAGTTTGTCCTTAATATCCTT